AATTTGATTTTTTTTTTCCTTTGGTTTGTTTTTTCCGTCGATCTTGTTTTCCGTGCTGAGCACCAATGCTACCGACGTGCCAGGAAGGCAGCTCCTACACCTGGACCCTACCTATCGACCCATCAACTCATGAACCGGGGACCAACGGCTTTACTTCCCATCCGAAGAAAGGCGTGATCAGAGATGTTATGCCTCAGAACATCCCGGCGGCGCCGACTGGTATTGAACCCAGACCTGCTGGGGTAAGAGGTAATCACGCTTACCACTACACCACCGGCGCCGTTAAAGAGGGATTTGATTTAATTGGTTCCAAAATGGAATACCCGTGATCCCGGCGATATAGGAAGTTACTGTGTTCGGCAAACAGGTAACTAAGATCTTTCGGCACAAACGAAGTGACAGCGGCTCGAAAACTTTGGTGACTAACCTGCTATTTCAATTTTTCAGTGTACCACATGGCAACACCACTACTACTGGATTGAACCACATGGCAACACTACTACTGGATTGTATTAGCATTTTCACCAAATGTATTAGAATGTTTTGGTTCTATCTCTTTCACTCTACTCAAAACTGAAATGCATAAAAAAAATGACAAAATGATACACTCTTTGTCAAATAATCATTGTACACAAAATCAACTTTGTTCAAATCAAAACAAAAAAACTAGCCCATCTGGTGGATGATGGCACAAGCTTCCAAGAAAATTCTATTACAGTGAACCACATTATTTTAATGGATTTCTTCGCCAGTTAGTCGTCTGTCACTTCGTTTGTGCTTTCGGATGGTGGACATATAAGTTCAAAGTTCAGTTACTAGGTGGCGTAAGTGTATATATGAGATTTTTTATGTGCTATTTATATTTCATGAACCTGACGTTCATGGAAAATACAGTTCTCAACAATGTTTTTTTTACCCCGGTGTACAAGGCCTTATACATGAAGAAAAGGTTAGTTGCGAATGCTCTTGTTACGCGGCTCTATTGCATATGTCTTCTACATAGTTGCTAAGCTAACCAAGTCCTTTCAAATGATGGACAATAAGTGTGTATGATACATGCACAAGATCTTACGTACACTGTGTGTACGCTAGCGTACGTAAGAGCTTGTGCATGTATCATATCTCAAGATTATGGCATTCTGAGAAATAACTGTTCACTGCAAAGTTGTCCAAAAAAATATATGAAAACTTTCCCGAAGACACCCGTTCACGGATTTTTCATACATTGTAGCAAGCGTGATTGACCATTTTATGGATAATCCGAATCATCTGCACAACTTGTTTGTGGCCTCCAGAGTGCATAATTTGGCCTCAATGCCAAATTCAGTCAGATAACACATCAACAAGTGCTTGCGCAAAAAAAAAACATGGGGCTCTAGGACCAGTTTAATTTATTTACCTCTTTTACGGATGTTCCGGATCTTCTGGAGGACCAGTCTGTGATCATCAATATTCTGGCCACAATATGAAATTAATTCGAAAAACACATCAACAAGTGTGTTCGCAAAAAAATTGGAGCTCTAGAAACAGTTTAATGAATTGAACACTTTTACGCATGTTCCGGATCTTTAAATGGGCCAGCCTTAGCCCTCCAGGGTTCATATTTGGACCAAAACCCCAATTTTTTTTTTAACTCACCAATAAGTGCTTCCGCTAAAAACTGCGCAGCTCTAACTCCAATTTCATGAATTTACCACTTTTACGGATGTTACGGTGTCCCGCTGGAAGACACATTGTACCAAAAGGAGGACAGTTAACAATTTCCCCGAAGATACCAGGAAGTTATCTATTCATATAACTTTAATATCAGAGTTTATCAGAGTTTTATTGACTGTATATAAATTTAGTTTCATTCATTTTAAACCGACCATGACATTGATCCGTGTTCTTAATACATCAAAACTAACTAACTTATCCGCGTTCCATTTCTTCGATTATTTCTTCCCTTATTCGCTCGTAAGGTACCGCAGGACGAAGGAATGTTTCTTATGTACCTAGCTGCGCTGTGCTACTGCCAGAGTTGGTGCGGTAGAAAGATGACGTTTGCGATTCCTTATGTATCATCCACTGCTTTGTATGGATCTGTACGGCAATGTTGTGCGGTAGACACGAAGAGAAGATATGTGCAGTTCAAAGTTGTATACAATCATTGAACGCCTTATTCGGTGAACTGTTGAGATCGTTTTTCTTTTTGTGCAACCATCGTTCTTCGTTTCGTTCATTCATTTGGTGCTACAAAACTGAATACTCTTATTCGGCAAAGGTGTCTGACACTTCACTCATTTGTGAATATCTATTCATGACCAGTTACGAACCTGACACACGGTAGTTCAATGGCATGTTGACAGATTTCCAAACACTGATCTTCGGCTTTACTTCGTGAAGCAGCTTGCCAACAATTTGCTCGTTTCCTTCTACCGCCCCGAATGAGTCGGGTCGCACGAGCTGCTTGTCATGAAAAAGAACGGTGAAGATTATATCATTATTGTTTTCAACTTCTGACATAGCGTTATTATTCGGTTCGTTGATCGCTTGTTATTTTGTCATTTGGAGATATTTTTGATTCCTTGATCACCTTTCCGAAAGTGGTATTGGTTTGTGTGGGCGTTCTTTGGTTCGCGTGTAAAGGGCCTTAGAAAGTTTGTTTACAAATGCTTTTGTGCCGTTATCAAATGTTATGCCTGATTTTATCTTACTTCATATAGAGGGGTTAGTTGAAATACTCATAATACAGCAGTCGTTACACAGAAAAAAAAATATTATTATTGGCTCTGGCTTTGACAGTTCGCTTGGCTCAAAACCAGCTAGTTCGCCCCTCTCTTATATTAGACACTCTACAATTTTGCGTACACGCTATTTCAAAACTACCCAAATTTGGGTAGAATCCACCCAGATCTGTCAAAACTGAACCTACCCAAAAATGGGTAAACTGTGTTGGGAGTGACAAGTTGACAAATGAACAACGTCGATCGGATTCATACCAATGTTGTTCATTTGTCAACTTGTCACTCCCAACACAGTTTACCCATTTTTGGGTAGGCTCAGTTTTGACGGATCTGGGTGGGTTCTACCCAAATTTGGGTAGTTTTGAAATAGCGTGCGTAGAGATTTTCACGTCCAGTTGAATTAATCATATTGTCGAGCAGTTTTGGGACAACCTTCTACCAGCGATTTTACGGAAATGAAACATTAAGGCCGTTCGCAATGCTGAGTGCGTTCGCCGTTCGCAATGCTGAGTGCGTAGAGATTTTCACGTCCAGTTGAATTAATCATATTGTCGAGCAGTTTTGGGACAACCTTCTACCAGCGATTTTACGGAAATGAAACAATAAGGCCGTTCGCAATGCTGAGTTTCAAAATTGACCACTTTGTCAAGCAGTTTTGGCGTGACTTTCTACCAGCGATTTCACAAAACTGGACCAACTAATTTCTATTTTTTTTGTGAAACGCACAAATGTTGGCTACTTTTCTCGAGGTTCTGGAAGAAAAAATCTCTAAATAATGTTTCATTTCAAAGTTCGAGTGGTAGTAAACGTCATTTTATCTGCTCGAATGAAGTAGTTAATTGTTTTAAACTACTCGTCAATTCTATAATTTGAAACTGTCAAAAATAAAACTGCAACACGATCAGGGCAACGCACAGTTCTAAAAGATGTTTGTCATCATCAAGTTCCATAAACTTTACTGTTCTCTATGAAGTTCTCCGTTTTTTGTTTGTGAAGCTCTTCGAAGCATCTTTAAACACATCCAAAGAAATTTGAAACAGAGTTCCATTCATGTTTCAAACTCGCTCAGAATTAAAACAGAATATTCGAGCAGTTGCAAATCTGGTGCAAAATAGTGCTCGAAAAATGAAACTGCAACTCAGCATTGCGAGAGGTGCGTTTCTGTTCTAGTTTCAAATTGAAACAGTCCTTATAAAATACAACAGCATTGCGAACGGCCTAATCATTTTAAACTGCTCGAATGATGTGATCCATTGGTACGATATATGAGAGCGTGTTAGTCAATATCCGAGGAAAATACATCAGTGCTAACATTTGAAAACGGCACAAAAGCCATTTGTAAACAAATGGTTTGTGGGCCCTTTACTCACTACTTGAAGTACACCCACGCGACACAACAGCAACATCGGGTAGGGGAAATTTTCCCCTTCCTGACGATGCTGTTGGTTTGCGTGGGCGTTCTTCGGGTAGCGAGTAAAGGGCCCACAAACCATTTGTTTACAAATGGCTTTTGCGCCGTTTTCAAATGTTAGCACTGACATAACAAATCGCTGTCAAACTCATTTTGAGAGATCTAATTTCATACATTTTTTAGGTTATTCAGAGGAAAATAATAAACAACTTTACTCAGCGGTCCACCCACCTGCTAGTGTGCGGGCGTTAAACGTCACTAATCCTTTTTGACGTTTAATCATCTTTCTCTATCTAGCACACATGGATGAATGAACGGTTTGTTTTCCCACTAATCTGTTTTCTACTTGCTCGCACTTTTTCACTTTAAATAGTACAATAGTGTGCGCCGATTAAACGTCAAAAAGCTCTATACGTATACGCGACGAAGTGTGCGTAAGATAAACGTCGGCAATCTTAATTGACCTTTCTGCCGTTTATCAGTTGCACACTTCTGTAATCCTATTTTCAAGTGGGAAGTTTTTTTATCCTCATTTTCGCTCCAGCGAAATGATGCTTTGTTATTGTTATCCTCACTTTCGGACCATCAATACTCGCGCATATAGAATGGACTATAGACTTCTCTACCATCGTTTCATCAGGAAAATTTCTTCCATGGTGCATTGACGAATTTTAGTTCATGCTCTGACGAAAATTTTACAGGATTACTAATCATGAACACTAAATGTAAGCTTTCAGTAAGCGTTACCCCGATCTCCTGTCAAATTATCATTTCATGAACTAAAATTCATAGCGAAAAAGGTTCCCGATGAAAACAAATCACTGACACAACAGCACTTTAGACATCTCTATAGTAGTAAGTTGAACGCTGAATTTAATCGCCCAAACCGGGCTTTAGGACTTGGTTCAGTTTTTCTTAAATATATGTCAGACTGTGTGTAAAAGCAGCTAAGCAAAAAACAAATAGATTTATTCTTCCTATATTTAACCTAACCATTAAAGCATGGGGTAAGTAATTGTTCTAACTTTTATTGTAAGTGTAGTACGTATGTCATTAATAATAGTACTTCTGTCATAGTATATTTAATCGTTTCACCCTCAGAAGAAAAAAATACTAAGCTACGCCTTGTTCAATCGTTCAACCCCCAAACATTAAATTCTCACTGGAAGTAGGATGTTTGATACCAAGTACATAAAATTTATTATAATACCTTTAAGTCCGTACGCAGTAAAAGTTTGTGATGGATTAAAGGGAGATAAAAAGTTGCTAATATTAAATGGCATGTATGTTTTACCAAATAACTAGTTTATTTGTATTCAGATTCGACCCAGTTCAAAGGAGTGCGAGGCTGGATCCACGGAAAATTACAAAAGAAAAGTTCAAACGGACGTTTACTAAAGCCCTCTAGTAAAACTATGGACGACTGCCACCAGAAAACTATGAAAAGCTGTTCCAATCGAACCAAACGGTGCATTTTTACAGTTACTAGACAGCTTTTAGCAGACGGCCAAACTTCTACTGGAGGGCTTTAACGTTTAGCTATCGGAAAACTAGTAGTCTATTTTAATCGACGGAATAATAAATCAACCGGTCTAAACAGCTACTAGGGTAAACGCTCCTATGGTTGTGGTATGCAAGAAGAGTTTTTGTTTCCTATTAAAATATAGACTGTAAAAAATAGTTTAACTATTTACAAAAAAAAAAAAAATCAAAATTATTAAAAAAAAAAATAAAATAATTCAAATTGCATTTTTTGTTTAATTATTCTTTTATATTTATATTGTATTTAAGAAAAAGTACTACTCACTGACAATGTGTTTTTTCTGGGCAATTCATAAACAAAAAAGTTATGAATTATTGAAAAAGCACTATTTTCCAAAATACTACCTACGGTTATCGAATATCTTTGAAATAATGTTAATATCAAAACAAATTAAGTTAACAACAAAAAAGCTCTTGATGTTGAAAGTTATTCTTATAATCAGGCAAGACCGGTAACATTATTAAAATGAATAAAATAACAATATAGTATGACTTAGATCATCGGATTTAGAGTTGCTTTATGCTTTTGGGTTGTTAAAATAATACTTTAAGGAAATCTAAAAAACCAGCACATACTATGGGTTTTACAGTGATTTTACATGAGTTCTAGATTTTTAGGGGGGTACCCAATTTAAAATCACGAGATATCGTTTTAAAACATTTTAAAAAAATGTTCCTTAAGTAATTTTCTACAAAAAACTCTTGGACGGCAATGTCGTAACATGCTTTAGTTAGGCAGTATACGACATCGGGACAACATCCCAAACTTCAAAAAGAGAGTGGTACCACAAAATTAGGACGTGTTAGGATATAGGTATTAACGGCGCCGGTGGTGTAGTGGTAAGCGTGATTACCTCTCACCCAGCAGGCCTGGGTTCAATCCCAGTCGGCGCCGCCGGGATGTTCTGAGGCATAACATCTCTGATCACGCCTTCCTTTGGATGGGAAGTAAAGCCGTTGGTCCCCGGTTCATGAGTTGATGGGTCGATAGGTAGGGTCCAGGTGTGGGAGCTGCCTTCCTGGCACAACGGTAGCATTGGTGCTCAGCACGGAAAACAAGATCGACGGAAAAAAGAAACCAAAAGAAAAAAAAGAAAAAGGATATAGGTATATTCAGGACTTTTACTCAGGAGTCTACAAGAAAGTCAAATATGGTCAACTTTCTCAGTCCTAGAAAAAAGTTTCGATTTGTTGCACAGTGTATTCAATCATTGTCATATTTTTTTACATTTTTTCTTATTTTTTATTATAGTATGCTATTATTCGTCTCTATATAGATGTGTAATGTAACATGTCTCTTAACCGTAAATCAAAAATATATATATATACAGCCATTCCATAGCAAAACGATATAGAGCATTTCCAGCCCAAAACGCAAACCGGTTGGACATGAGTGTTTCCGATTTGAATGAAACATTTCTCACGTGTTCGCTGCTACTAATGGTTGCATTTTTCATTTAAATATGATTTTTTCCTCCAGAGTAACTTTTAAAAAGGGCGTATAAAAAAAATGGATTATTTTTTTTTTCAAAAAATCATAACTTGAAAACTATTGAGCCAATCTCTTATGTAAAACATGGTTCATAGGAATTATTGCTGAACCTTAATATGTCTGTATAAAGGTATGAATTTTGAAACTACCATTTCCCATCACTTGAATCCCCCATCAGCCATAATATTCACCCATCACTAAATTCCCAATATATGTTTTACCCCCGAATGTATATGCAAATATGTTAGTTCAACATGTAAATAATCGCACTACATGTCGCAATATTGTCGCGCTTATGTTAAATTCTCATTTGGTGACGGATACTGGATAAAGAGCCGCCGTGTGTTAAATCAATGGGCGCAGTCGTACGGCCATAAACAGAAAATAGATGGTATAATCCTTTTTTTGAGAAATTATCCTGCCACACACAGTACATCTCCGTTTACAAAATCACCAATTTTCTGATTCCGGTGTTGTTGTTGTTGTTGTTGTTGTTGTTGTTGTTGTTGTTGTTGTTGTTGTTGTTGTTGTTGTTGTTGTTGTTGTTGTTGTTGTTGTTGTTGTTGTTGTTGTTGTTGTTGTTGTTGTTGTTGTTGTTGTTGTTGTTGTTGTTGTTGTTGTTGTTGTTGTTGTTGTTGTTGTTGTTGTTGTTGTTGTTGTTGTTGTTGTTGTTGTTGTTGTTGTTGTTGTTGTTGTTGTTGTTGTTGTTGTTGTTGTTGTTGTTGTTGTTGTTGTTGTTGTTGTTGTTGTTGTTGTTGTTGTTGTTGTTGTTGTTGTTGTTGTTGTTGTTGTTGTTGTTGTTGTTGTTGTTGTTGTTGTTGTTGTTGTTGTTGTTGTTGTTGTTGTTGTTGTTGTTGTTGTTGTTGTTGTTGTTGTTGTTGTTGTTGTTGTTGTTGTTGTTGTTGTTGTTGTTGTTGTTGTTGTTGTTGTTGTTGTTGTTGTTGTTGTTGTTGTTGTTGTTGTTGTTGTTGTTGTTGTTGTTGTTGTTGTTGTTGTTGTTGTTGTTGTTGTTGTTGTTGTTGTTGTTGTTGTTGTTGTTGTTGTTGTTGTTGTTGTTGTTGTTGTTGTTGTTGTTGTTGTTGTTGTTGTTGTTGTTGTTGTTGTTGTTGTTGTTGTTGTTGTTGTTGTTGTTGTTGTTGTTGTTGTTGTTGTTGTTGTTGTTGTTGTTGTTGTTGTTGTTGTTGTTGTTGTTGTTGTTGTTGTTGTTGTTGTTGTTGTTGTTGTTGTTGTTGTTGTTGTTGTTGTTGTTGTTGTTGTTGTTGTTGTTGTTGTTGTTGTTGTTGTTGTTGTTGTTGTTGTTGTTGTTGTTGTTGTTGTTGTTGTTGTTGTTGTTGTTGTTGTTGTTGTTGTTGTTGTTGTTGTTGTTGTTGTTGTTGTTGTTGTTGTTGTTGTTGTTGTTGTTGTTGTTGTTGTTGTTGTTGTTGTTGTTGTTGTTGTTGTTGTTGTTGTTGTTGTTGTTGTTGTTGTTGTTGTTGTTGTTGTTGTTGTTGTTGTTGTTGTTGTTGTTGTTGTTGTTGTTGTTGTTGTTGTTGTTGTTGTTGTTGTTGTTGTTGTTGTTGTTGTTGTTGTTGTTGTTGTTGTTGTTGTTGTTGTTGTTGTTGTTGTTGTTGTTGTTGTTGTTGTTGTTGTTGTTGTTGTTGTTGTTGTTGTTGTTGTTGTTGTTGTTGTTGTTGTTGTTGTTGTTGTTGTTGTTGTTGTTGTTGTTGTTGTTGTTGTTGTTGTTGTTGTTGTTGTTGTTGTTGTTGTTGTTGTTGTTGTTGTTGTTGTTGTTGTTGTTGTTGTTGTTGTTGTTGTTGTTGTTGTTGTTGTTGTTGTTGTTGTTGTTGTTGTTGTTGTTGTTGTTGTTGTTGTTGTTGTTGTTGTTGTTGTTGTTGTTGTTGTTGTTGTTGTTGTTGTTGTTGTTGTTGTTGTTGTTGTTGTTGTTGTTGTTGTTGTTGTTGTTGTTGTTGTTGTTGTTGTTGTTGTTGTTGTTGTTGTTGTTGTTGTTGTTGTTGTTGTTGTTGTTGTTGTTGTTGTTGTTGTTGTTGTTGTTGTTGTTGTTGTTGTTGTTGTTGTTGTTGTTGTTGTTGTTGTTGTTGTTGTTGTTGTTGTTGTTGTTGTTGTTGTTGTTGTTGTTGTTGTTGTTGTTGTTGTTGTTGTTGTTGTTGTTGTTGTTGTTGTTGTTGTTGTTGTTGTTGTTGTTGTTGTTGTTGTTGTTGTTGTTGTTGTTGTTGTCTAAACAGAATCTGGCGTAGCGGCGTTTACCCTATCAGCTGGCGAACCGGAATTATAGTGCCGATTCCGAAGCCAAACTGTTCTGAATCTGGACCTGCTGCTTTCCGACCTATCACTATAACGTATCGTGAACCGCAGATTGACGACTGAGAACGTATCGTGAACCGCAGATTGACGCCTTTAGAGCTGGGAGAGGCGTCGACACATACTTGGCGGAGTTGGATAGGTCATTGCCAAATCGGGACAAACACTGCTTGATTGCATCGCTTGATCTGTCGAAAGCGTACGACACCACTTGGCGGTACGGTATCTTGCGCACTCTGCGTAAGTGGCTGATGGGTGGGCGCATGTTCAACGTACTGAACAGTTTCCTCACCGACAGATCTTTCCTGGTGAACGTGGAAAAACATTTATCGGGTGAAATGCCATTGGAGAACGGAGTCCCCCAAGGGTCAGTGTTGTCTGTCACGTTATTTCTTATAACGATGCAGCCGATTTTCAGAGTGGTGCCGCATACTGTTGCCGTGCTTCTCTATGCGGACGATATTTTGCTGGTGGTACGGAGGAGTAAGAAGCGTCCTCTGTATAGAGATCTACAGGCTGCAGTGAAAGCTGTCGACAAATGGGCGAAAAGCGTCGGCTTCACATTTTCCGCGACAAATCAAAAAATTTCTACGGCAGTCCCAACGCCCGTTGAGAACCCAGCAACGATATATTCATCTACAGCTGTACCGAGGACAAATCAACTGAAAGTTGTTG